AGGTTTTTTAACGTTTGAAGCAGCACTGCACGATAAAATCTAAAAATAAAAATAAAAATCATAAAAACTTAAATTATTGAAATGATAAAAAAACCCACCTCAGACATGTAAGATGTGATTTATGTAAACCGTTACACAACATACTGGGTGACAAATGAAAACATCAGAGTCGAGATGGAAAAAGTAAAGCATAAAAACAGAAAATACACAAAAGATTAGAAAGTGTAAACTGGAGTGAACATCTGTAAGCAAACTGTAAGGAAAGGAAAGACATCATTTAGACCAAACAGGACAGAAGGTACCAGTGAGCTCATCTTGTTTAAGTGCAATCATTTTAGTGGTTTGACAAGGTCAGAGCTTCTGTTGGTTCTGTTTCATTTAGTTAACTTACTTTTATTGCAGTAAATTGTGCCTTAAGGTTATTATCTTTATATTTCTGTGCTAATGTTTACATTTCCATGTAAAGTTGTTTGATTCTGTAAAACAGTATATGGTTAAAACTGTCTTAGTGCTGCCCTCTACGGGTTGAAAGATGGCTACACACTGCAGCAAGTCAGGGGTTGGAACAGCAGAGTGTTAGCACATGTTAGCAATGATACTGCTAACATCACCAGTAGTCAGGTCCATGTCTGAGAGTCCAAGCTTAGAGAAACTCCAGCTACTGATGGAATAGTTTTTTTACTCAGTGATTTACAGTCTGTTTTTCCCTACAATTATATTTTTTTACATTTTATTTCTTAATGCCAGCAGGTTGGAATTTTGGAAAATTACAGTCTTGTTGCAAGTCTGTGATTTCTCTTTAATGCATAATTAAAAATGAAAATTATTCCATAATTATTGCCACTGATGATCATGTTGCTCATTGTGATGACTTGTGTTTTTCTAAAGCTGTGGAAAACCAAAGAATAAAGTCTGAAGAGTAATCAGGTTGTTTTAATGCTTCACTAACAATGCTACACTTCATTAAAACAAAACACAAAATATTAAGATCATTGGATGGACCAGTATTATAATGTTAATGCCTGTTTGTCATTTTCAGAGCAGTACGATTTGACCTTTGACCTCACTGTCCCAGTACACGGGTGTGTTCCTCCCAGCACTGTAGAAGAACAGCTACAATCATTCCACTCTCACAAAATGTACAAAACTTACTTTGTCTCATCATAGCCACAAACAGAAATAAAATAAAAATTTAAACAAATAAAATAAATAAAATATACAAATTTACTCTTCATTCCTGGAGAGTCCAGTAATTTGTTTGGAGTCGCTTCCTTTAAACGTTCAGCTATGATAAAGTCTGTGTGTGTGTGTGTGTGTGTGTGTGTGTGTGTATGTGTATACTGGTATTTGTTACCTTTTAGGACCATTCCTGGTCCTCATAAGGAGAGAAATACAAACCCGTGTGTATGGTCAAGTCTTGCTATCTTTGTGAAGACATTTTTTCATTACTGTGAGGACCCTGTTTGTGTGCCAGGGGTTAGGTTCTGGATCATGTGAGGTTAGGGTTTGGGTACGGAGTCAGGATTGTGCTGCAGAAATGAATGGAAGTCAATACAAGTCCTCACAAGAATAGAAAGACGTGGGTGTGTGTGTGATGTGGTGCCTTCATATAAAACAGGAGTTCTCAAACTTTACTCGCACCCACCCGGACCCCCAGCCAGACTAAACTAAAACAAAGTGAATCAAGTTTACTGTAAATAAAATGTACAAAATAAAAAAATAATTTAATTTTTTTTGTAAAACTTTCTCAATCACTGTGTCTGAAAAGGTGACATTTTTTCTCCAGTCTGCTGTTTGGAGTATTTATTTATTGTAAAATAAAAAGCATAAAAACAGACTGAGATCAGCCTCTGATTGATCTGAAATAGATTTGAAAAATCCTGAGAGGAAAGATAATCCGGTTCTGGGTCTGCCCCGGGTCTCTACAGACCAGACCCACGGATGATGGGGCTCCTCACCTTTTCTCTGCAGCTCAACCTGATCTCAGGCCTGAGGAGACCCAACAAACATAAACAAAAACATCAGAGTTTATTCAAGAGATGAAGATTTCCCTGAGCCACACCCTAAAGGACAACACTGCCAATCCAATCCAAATCACTAGGAGCTCAGTTTTCCAATGTCCCCTGAACACACCATACCAGACCTCCTCTCAGACCTCCTCTCTCATCCTGCTCATCCACATCGTTTTAGAAGCAAGGGAACATCGTTAGCTGTTAGCAGCAGTTAGCGAGCGCTCAGTCAGTCAGATGTTTCTGAAGAAATAAACAGCTGGACTGTTTTTATCGTCATGTGGTTTGGATTTAAGTAGGGAGACTTTAAACAAGCTTCACGTCAGACGTCTACAACATGCCATCTGCCCGTTATACTTAGAAATGGAGAGAGGGAACACGGTCATCTCTGAGAAAACTTTAGTTCCTGGAGGTACTGAGGCTTCGTTTTAACAAACTGTAAGGTGATAATCAGCTGTCAGAGTTGGGCTTTATTCTGTAAAAATAAAAATATTGGACAAAAGAGTCAGAGGATGGACTTATTGTTAATTAATGCCATCACAAATGATCCAGTTTACTGTGTTATCTTCTTTATTCTTTCATTTATTCTATTTTTATCAGAGACCCCGCTCCCTTTATTCCTCACAGATGCCATCTGTCAAAGTGATGGCCTTTTGGTTGGCTTTTTGTTTAAAAACGTTAACGGGTTACATGAGTGGAGTGTAATGCTTCAAGAAAGCAACATACTGTCAGCTGTCAGTTTTCAGACAACAAACAGGTTAATCAGCCTGAATTTTGCAGAAACAGCAGTGAGAACAACCTGCTCTCTCTGACCGTTTCTTCCTGATTTACAATAGCCGTGTTTCCATTAATGTTTATTTATGCACATTTTAAAGTATCGCATTAGAAAAGTTGATGGAAATAACACAATTCAAAAAGACTTCCTCAATTTTGCAAGAAAGTTTTTACGCTTGTTTGAGATGTTTTTTTGGATTTTCCAAAAAAGAGTTAATGCGCAAAAAGGGGAGATATTACTGTAACGTGAAGAGAATTATATTTGGGGTAGCTGTGGCAGAGTGGTTAGAGGAGTTGTCCTGAAACAGGTTGTTGGCTCAATCTCCCCTTCCAGCTGTCTAATGGCTCGTTCACACCGAGAGCGTTTTGAGCGGCAGGAGCTGCCAGTTTATGGCTCGTTCACACCGAGAGCGTTTTGAGCGGCAGGAGCTGCCAGTTTACATGCAAAGTCTATGGCGAACGCGCCTCAAGGGGTTGTGCGTCGCGTCACGCGCGTTATGAGCGGCGCGCAAGGAAGGCGGAAGGGGGCGCAGAGCGTTTTCCGTGCATGCGGTGCTGCAGAAGCCGCCGCCGCCCGAGCCGCCGCCAGAGTTCAAATATCTGAACTTTTCGCCGCTCGACGCGTCTCCCACTGACGGACTGGAGATCTTTACCTGAAATCGACCGTGTGCAGTTGGATTTTTTGGCAGGATTTATC